AAACTACCTAATAATTTGCATCAAGCTTTGTCTAAATTAATCATTTAAAAATATTTCAAAGCAAATTCTAGGTATTGAGGTTTTTGTGATTTGTATAATAACTTCAGACATATATATATATATATATATATATGTGTGTGTGTGTGTGTGTGTGTGTGTATTTATTATGTGATTCAATGTTTTAACTCTGACATTATTAACCAACCCATCCTAGGCAAAGTGAAAGGAAGCAAACTTTGATTTTCGTTACAAGTATCAATCCATACATAAATAATCTTGTCATTTTTTTTAATGGTATTTATTTAAAAAAATCAAAATCGTTCAAGTCTCATTAGCATATAATTGCATTACTACCAAAAAATGTTTAGCAAAAATTAATATAAATGCAATATTTTAATTTATTTTATATAAAATATTTTATTGCTTTTTTTTTTTTTTTTTTTTTTTTTTGGTATCATTTGCTTTTGATGTATGTATATACATATCTCAAAACCAGTTCTCATCTATCCAGTTTGTCAACTGATATCATTTTTACAATATGTGTGTGTAGTATTTCTATTACATAAGTGGATGACAGAATTTGGTTTGGGAGAAGTAGCAAGAGGACAAAATATATTGAGAGCTACAGAGGATAGACGGAAGTGGAGAGCCATGATCGCCTATGTCGTGAAGGGACACGACACATAAAAAGAAGTATTTTGATCATTTTTATATTGCATTTTTGGTTAATATGACTTCTTTTTCTACTACTACTACTACTTTAAAATTTTTTTTTTTCATTTTTTTTTTTTTTTTTTTTTAAAGTAGGTAAATTTCAAGTAATCACAATTCCATACTATTTGAATCTTTGACAAAAAATAAATTTTTAAATATGATAATAAATTTGTTTTCGACCACAATTTACATTGTTTAAGTTGACTTAGGTTGAAAGAATTTATGATTAATTAGTGGGATTTGATCAATTTTTTTTTTTCTCAGAAAATGATGGCAGTTGAAATGTTAGAAATTATGAGTTGATGATGCATTTATTTTATTTTCTCTTGTTGAATGTAAAGGATGATGGCACTAACTTTGTCATTTTTCCTCATAAATTCTGGGAAGATGTCACATTATTCAGTGTTCAGATCTGTGAATTGTTCCTATAGAGTAGGTAACAAGATAACAGAAGTAGGGGGGAAATAAATTAGATGACACTTAAGGATTACAAAACGGAGCATACGTCCAAGGAAGAATGAAAAGAATGTATCATGATAAAAAAAATTCCTCTTCGTACGAGATTCTCTATAATTTGTAGAATATAGCAAACCAGCAAAAATTGTAGAAAAGCCTACCTAATTGTGGTAGAGGGCTTTTTAAAATCTGAGTGGCACAAAATAAGGGAAAAAATTAATTCTGTTATGTGCACAACATAACTGTTATTAGCGCAAAAAGTTGGATCCTGAGTTTTGGATGGGGCTGTTGTGTTCCTTTTGCTCAAATGCTCTTGGGAAAGGTATGAATTCATCTATTTTCCCAACTATGGGTTAAATAACACATAGCTATCTAGCCATGGTTGGCTACAGACTAGGAGAAGGACAACTTTTAATTAAAAACCAGTTGTGTGTGGCTTACTACTGACACCACTTCAGCATCATCTAGCGTGATTTGGTTGTAGACTTACACTCCAGAGTGAGTTTCAAGTTTCATGAAAAAGATGTTTACAGACAGAAAGTTTTCATGGTGTTTGATTTCCATTACTGAGATGTTTGGTTATGGGTTTAAAATTCATATTGATGCAAAAATATCTATTGGGGGTGTATCAAAACGTTTTTTTTTTTTTTTTTTTTTTTTTTTTATTTTTTTTTTTTTTTTTTTTTATATTTTTTTTTATTATATTTTTTCTTTATTATATTTTTTAATTTTTTTTTTAAATCCGCTCTTTATAATGAGTCAACAAATTTAGTATAGAAGAACAAGAAATTGAAGATAGAATATGCTGGTCTAGAGGTAGTTTCACCCAACACCACAGATTGCTACAAAATCAAAATATTAACCTGTAAACTCAAGTCATGTTCTTAAATAACCTTGTCAGATTGAGACTTGCATAACTTGTACAGAAATTTCTGATGTGTCTACTCTATATCAACGATTAAAAATGGCTTTAAGTGAGTGAAACCTGTGAGCCTTGGCAAAGATCATCCTTCTTTTGAAACTTGTGGACTGGTGCTACAGAATCAAAAACAAAGAACTCTACCAAATAACAGAAAGACTTTATAAATTTCACTAGCTGTTCGGTCAGTGAATGCCAAATGTTTCCTTATAAAGAAATGGCTAATATTACCATTATACCATGCTTTTGAATCTACTATATATTGATGATCCTTGTTGTGCTGGTAGCCAGATTCACCTCTGAAGACACATGGCCCAGTGGATAAAAGCATTGGTTGAAGCAATCCAGTGACTTAGCCCAAAGAATTGTGAGTTTAATATCTGGCTACAGCAGAGCTGAACAAACATTTGGAGAGATGAGTTACAAAAGGGAATTAACTGAAACTGAAATATCCAGAAAAGGCATGGCATGTGGAACTAGAACAATCTACTCCATTGGACTAAATAATGGGTTTGGTGTAAAATTCCAATGTATGTTATCTGAAGAAGGCTGGAGTGTACAATGGCTGAAATGTTGTAAATATGGTAATAATGTTGAAAACAATGTAAATAGTTTAAATAGTTTCTCTAATTTTGACGTGGGAGATGGTGAGGTCTTTGTTTTTTTTTTTCTGTTAGTATACATTGTGATATATTTTCCTTTATTTTTACTTTAGCATGTGGTTATAAAATATATATTTACTAATTCCATGCCAGTAATTAAAATGCACATAGACATTCTTAAAAATGTAATATGTAAAAATATTAATGAAAAATGACTAATTTTCAGAGTGTTAGAAATGGAAAGAATATGAATGTTGTGTCCTGCCTATGTCCCATAACAATTGTTACATTTAATGTATGAAATATAAGCAAATGTCGATTCTTGTTAGACTTGGTATATAAAACTTCACCCGTGATAGATTGTTGTTAGACTTGGTACATAAAACTTCACCCGTGATAGATTGTTGTTAGACTTGGTATATAAAACTTCACCTGTGATAGATTGTTGTTAGACTCGGTATATAAAACTTCACCCGTGATAGATTGTTGTTAGACTCGGTATATAAAACTTCACCCGTGATAGATTGTTGTTAGACTCGGTATATAAAACTTCACCCGTGATAGATTGTTGTTAGACTCGGTATATAAAACTTCACCCGTGATAGATTGTTGTTAGACTCGGTATATAAAACTTCACCCGTGATAGATTGTTGTTAGACTCGGTATATAAAACTTCACCCGTGATAGATTGTTGTTAGACTCGGTATATAAAACTTCACCCGTGATAGATTGTTGTTACACTTGGTATATAAAACTTGTTGCATAATAGTGGTTATTGTTGTAATTACAAACAAAACAAATAAATTCAATGAAAAAGAAATTGTTTATTCATTCAATGCTTGGAAACCATACATTTTTAGAAACACTAAACACTAATTTGCTTCACATTAAAACATTTTTTTTCAACTTTTTAACATAGTGTTAAATTTTAACCAATTTTCACACTGTAGCTTTTCTTCATTGCCCTGCCTTACTTTATTGAAATTATTTCCATTTGATAACATACGTTTTATGCATGTTTATAATGTTAAAATATCACCGGTATATATAAACAAATCAGGTACAAATTTAAAAAAAAATTATTTTTACTTACTCTTTGAACAATTCACTTTAAAACACCACATGTTATTAAAAAACAAAAACAATAGAAAAAATTACTACTGTTCGGTTTAAACTTAGCGAAAATAAGTTATTGCTAAGCTATATATAAATATAATTAATATTTGTCATCAAATGAAAAAATATGCAAATGTAATAAATATTATGGTTCAGAGGTCTCCTTTATTTTCTTAATTTTATTTTCTCTTGCTTTTAACAGTTTAATAAAGAGAATAACAAGGATATTGGTGTCTTTCTTTACATCTTGTGCCACTCAGATTACTCTAAGTGAATTGTGTCTGCCCAAATTGTAGATATTGATCAATTCTGTGACTATTCTGATGATAGACATGTGCCAGGTGCTTTATACAGGTGATTAAAATGAATTTCTTCTAGTTGGTGCTTTCATCTTACCACTTGCCTGTTCTTGGTAACAAGCCAGGTCACATAACAAAAAATCCATTTTTCCTTTTCCTGAAACAAATCGTCTTTTTCTCTCTTCTCATTAATAAGCACTGTGTACACACAAATGAGCACAATGTCAAATCTTATTAGTCTATGTTTGCGCTATAAAATAGATATTAACTTACTGATGTTGGTAAAATTTTCTGGATATACTTAGTTATTTTTATAACTTCAAACATTATTTTTAGTGGATACCCATATTTGAGTAGATGTTTGTTTATTTTAAGTAGTATTTATTTTGTCTACTGCTCTGCATACTTGAGAAAATTTAAGAAAATGTGTCCTCTGGCAGAAGCAATATATCATGTGAGTTTCAGCTTTTTATATGTCTTTTTAAAAATATCAATAAGAAATTTTTTTAAAGAGAGCAATCTTTTATTATACAAAGTGAAACATGAATTTTTTATTTATAAATAATTCCAAGAGATATGCCATGAAAACATATACATGATTAATACAAGATCCCACATAGCAAAATAACTTATTTTATGATTTTTACATATTAATAATGGCTAACTGATATTTTATAACTATCACTTTTATCCACGGAGTCTGACAACTTTACTAGTTTTGGCTTTAACTTGCAACATGTTTTATTGCTTCCCAAAAATAGCCTTTGACTATTGTTTTCCATTTTCATTATCTTTTAATGATAAACTACAATTTTTCTATCTGGAAAGATTAGATGCCATTGTCTTTATTTAGTATTTGCAGAGTGTTAAAAAAAAAAAATCTTTGGCTTACAGCCACATCAGTACCTGTATGATCACTGAAGTTAAGCAATATTGAGCTGGGTTAGTACCTAGATGGGTGACCACTTGAGAATACCAGGTGCAGGTGGTATAATGAATAATGGCTTGGAATTGTTAATCGAAGAGCCAAGTGTTACAATTCCATTTCGGTTTGTTGTATTCCCTTCTGCACAAATAGCATCGGGAAAGGTATGATTCTATCTGAACCCACCACTCTCAGCTAGAAGTTAATTAGTAAGACACGTATCACTAAACCATTATTATCTAAAAAACAAAAAAAAGAACTTTAGCTTACAGCCACATCAGGTTGAAATACCGATACCTGTATGGTCACCAAAGTTAAGCAACATTGAGCCAGATGGGTGACCCCTTGGGAATACCAGTTGTTGTAAACTTGGAAGTGCAGCTGGTGTAATGGATAATGGCTTGGAATTGTTAATTGAAGAGCTAAGTGTTACACTTCCATTTGGGTTTGTTGTATTCCATTCTGCGCAAATACCATTGGGAAAGGTATGAATCTATCTCAACCCACCACTCTCAGCTTGGGAATACCAGTTGTTGTAAGCTTGGATGTGCATCTGGTGTAATGGATAATGGCTTGGAATTGTTAATTGGAGAGCCAAGTTCTAATTCCAGTTGGGTTCATTATATTTACTTACATGCAAATACCTTTGGGAAATGTATGACTCTACCTTTCTCCCCCCAGCTATGGGTTAATTAGTAAGACTTGTATTACTAAACCACTATTATTTCCCAAAAAATTTTTTTTCTTACAATTTAAAAATATTTTCTAAGGATTGAAAAGTCATAGAAAATGAACCAATCAAGTATCACTTTAGCTTAAAAAGTTGCTCACTTGTGAATTGGTATCACTCAAAAAATGTTTTGTCCAAGAAATGACAATAGTATCAACATAAATGCATAAAATTTTCAGCTTGAAATGACCTTTTATTTTTATTACTGACAATACTAATCTGATGTATAACTTCACCTCGATATTGTTATCTTCTAAATCTTGTTGAAGGAATCAAATTCTTATTCAGCTATCAGATTCATCCAATGTCACTCTATATTCATCACTAACAATGACTATTGAGAAATCTCTTTTCATACACATCTTTCTTTAATTTGTATGTTTCTCTTGATATTTAAAGGTGCTACCTTGGTTACTTTCATGTCTTTAGTTGTTTATGGCCATATTGTATTGAAACACCAGTTCTTGTACAATCACCAAAATTAAGCAAATTTGAGCTTGGTCAGTACCTAGATGGGTAACTGCCAGGTGTTGTAAGCTTAAATGTGCGTGTGGAGTAATGGATAATGGTTCAGAATTGGAAATTGGAGACCAGAGTTCCAGTTCCAGTCAAGTTCATTATATTCACTTATGCACAAATACACTTGGGAAAAAATATGAATCCACCTCTTCTCCCACCAGCTATGAGTTAATTAGTAGGACTTGTATCAGTAAATTATTATTATTGCTGAAAAATTCTTGCAATCTAAGAAAACTATTTTCTAGTTTTAAATAACCTGTAAAAGGTTAAGACTTAAAAGAACAAATATATCAATCAAATTAATTTGTCTTCAGCCAATATTTTTAATATTATACTTTTTTTCCTCTTTGTTTACATTTGCTACATCATCATTCCCAAATATCCAAATATTATCTTGCTGGTTAGTCCACTTTTCTTGCTTGTTATTCCTTTTTAATCTTTTTATCACATTATTTTCTTATCTTGCTAATATTTTCAACCGCTTTTCTTTATTGTTCTTTGATATTTCTTCATCATTTTTGCAATTTCCAACATTGCATTCTCACCACTCAATAACTTTCAATATTCTGTTTCTCTTTTGAGGTTATATCTTTATGATCCATGGCAATTTTTATGTCTGAAACTACAAAAATATCAATAGTTATAATTTTACATTTAATTCCAGTATGAACAAACCTAATAAATTCTCACCCCTCCAATATGTTCTTGGGAATATTTTGTATAAAAATGATAAATTTCATTTTATAGATAATTCTGAAAGTTTTATCAATGTTTAATACAATACATTTAATAATACTTTTTAATGTGAAAACCTTGGTTTGCATGATAATTTTTGGATTGTATAATAAAATATGACAGTATATTCAAAGCTTATCAATCTTCTATGATTAAAAAAGATTTCCATTTTTCTCTAGAATGCAAGTGAGGATGTATATTATGATGTTTCAGTGTAGATGTATATTATGATGTTGAGCCCCTATCATAAACTAATACAATGGACTCACACAATAGACCCATGTAGACATCATTTATTTTTGAGCCTCCTGGATGATTTTCAGCACAATTATAGAACTGTATTAATGTTATTCAAGGCGACCTAGGCTTTAATGATGTGAATTTTCACATCCTTTTCAGTATAATTTATTTTGCTTCCTATGTATGTAAAAGATTCTATAGATTTTATTACTTCACCTGAGACAGTTTGCATTGAGCCTTGCTAGTTGAAGCCTACGAATTTTGTTTTAGAGGCATTGATGTAGAGTCCAACATTATCTAGATTATATAGGACTGTAGGTCATCTTCATAGTCAATACCTTAAGAAAATATTCTTTTGTGCCACTGTAGAGGTGGTATTAATATATGGTGACACTGCTTGGACATTAACTAAAACCCTGCAGTCCAAACTTGGTGGAACCTACACTTGGATGCTGATCGCTATACTTAACATCTCTTGGAGACAACGTTCATCTAAATCACAGCTCTATGGACCCATCCCTGATATTTCTACAATCTTACGCAAACTCAGAATGTGCTTTGCAGGACACTGCTGAAGAGCAAAACAAGAACTCACAAGTGATCTACTGCTCTGGACAGCTAACCATGGAGCAAGATGTGTTAGTTACCCAGCAACCGCCTACATTGATCAGCTATGTTATGACACAGAATGTCACCCAAATGACCTTCCAACCTTGATGAAAGACTGTGATGGTTGATGTGATAGACTCATCAATGTCAGAGCTAGCACGACCAAATAAAAAAAAATTCATGGTATTTGTACTTAAAAAGAAGATTTTTTAAAAAAAACATTCCTATTTCTAGTAAAAAAAAAAAAAAAAGAGGTTAGTTCTAGAAACCTTTGTCTGCAATTTGAAGAGCTTAAATTTTGCATTTAACCTATTTATACTTTTGGGGAGATTTTCAGTGCAAAAATGGATTCAGAATCCCTAAAAATATAGGAATGGAAGTCTAGATCATGATTTTGTGATAGATCCAGGAAAAGTGATGTCAAAAATGGATGGTTAGTGTCCAGTATATCATGCCAAAAGCAAGCAATGATCGATATAAAAAGAACTGCATATATTTTAAATATCTTCCTGAGAACCATTTTCTTACATTTTGCACATTTAAAATTGTTTTAAAATTTGGGAACTTACACTAAAAAGGAGAAAGTAAATTTGTTTTGGATATTTTTTTTAGTATTATTTGAAGTTGGGATGGATCAGAGATAGAAAAGAAGGCAAAACCTGGCAAAAAGTTGTGCTGACTGAATTTTGTCTTGTAGGGCTCCCATATCTACTTGATATCAATCATTTTCTTTACAGTGAAACAATTTAAACCTGTCTGTCACTTATAACATTCATCAACAAGATTTCAATGATTTTCCTTGTAAAAAGAGGCAGAAAAGCAACTATTCAGAACTAATCATCTAAAAATATATGCAAGTTTTGATTAAATTCAATAGATTATAACTTGACAAATAATTGGAATTAGAATAAAGTTGGATTGGTTCTGAAATTATTTACTTTCAGACTAGATATAGTGTATATCATTTGAGAAATGTTCCAAAAATGCCAAATGTATACTTGTGAACCAACTGTACATGATGGTTAAGAAACTTCTCTCACAGACAAATTTATGTAATAAGATTAAGAACTGGACAAGATTACTATCAAGTTAATTGGAATATTTTCTTCTATTATCCAGAAGAAATATTAAACATATTTTTTTTTTCTCTAATTTGCCTTGTTTTTTAACCAACCCTTTTTATTTTTTTAATGTCTAAGAGATTATTCTCTTTTCATATGGTATATTTAATTTTTTTTTAGTCTCCTAATTGAGGCTTCCAAGTCATTTCTATATCTGGTTTTTGGATATGACATATGTCACTTGAAATTCATACAGGAGACAGAAAACTGGTTAAGTATTTTCTTTCTTGGAGATCATTGATATTTGTAACATTAAAAAAAAAATGTCTCCATGTTAATATTATAAAGATGATAATTTTCCACAGATTTAAAAACAGATATACCATGTTTTTAATTTGTAAATATGATAAAATTTGTATCTTTTTCAATTTTGTGTTGCTAAATCATCCATTGCAATAAATTAGCAATTTTTTTTCTGAATTGCTTCAGGGCATGACATTGTTATCAATGTATCTGTGTAAAATAAGCCTGTAGCATTTTAATTACCATAATTCCCCATGTATAATACACATTTTTTCTAAAAAACAATAAGCAAAATCAGGGGTGCATATTAAGCACAGCTACAAAAAGATCTTTAAAAAATTGCCATAAAATATAATAAGAATTATCATAAAACTAAATTAGAATAATGTTATTCTATGTTTAAAAACATTTTTTAAATAAGAATAGGAAATGCTGGCTGTAATGAAATTGGAGAGGTACAATTTATAGGGTTTGATTACCAAACAAGGGGTGCATATTATGCATGAGTAGAAGCATTTTCCCCACATTTTCAATACAATTTTAGGTGTGCGTATTATGGATGAAGGCATACTGTACATGGGGGAATTACGTTAAATACCAAGTGAATCAGCTGCAGTAAGAGCCCTTGTTTTGCTTGCAATATCTATTGAGACATGTTAAGGATTTTTTTTTTTTAATCAAGTTCACCCCAAGCAAGGCATTAAAGTGACTGAGACACAAGGAGCTACTGGGAGTGGAAGAATTTGAAAACAGAAACACCACTAATGAATGAGTGCAGAAGAGTAAACAGGAGGACAGTAGATAGCAATTGGCATTGCATTTAAATTTTTGAAGATTAAAGTTGGTTGGAAAGCATGGAGCT